ACCCAAACATTTATCAAAAACGTATTATGCACAGGCACTGCTCGGAAAGGAGTACAAAAATGAATATAACTCAGCCCCTAACCTCAAGGTACTTAAAATTTATAACGCAGTAAAATCCTGTACATTCTTAACTTCTTTTCTGAATACTCCTTCACACTTCTTTACTTTAAAGCAGCGGTTTCTCAAACTGTGGGTCGTGACCCCTTTGGGCATCAATCGACCCTTTCACAGGGGTTGCCCCATTCATAACAGTAGCAAAATTACAGTTATGATGTACCAACAAAAATAATTTTATGGTGGGGGAGATGAGGAACTGTTATTAAAGGGTCACGGCATTGGGAAGGTTGAGAACCACTGCTCTAACGGAAGCCTGACTCTTCTGAGGGAAGTGCCGGCCCACCTCCCTTCTCATGAGCTACCCCCTAGCTTCAAACCAGTTGACCTGGAAGCGGGAGATACCTTCCCTACTCTTAACTGCCAACTCCATCACAGTTCTCCCCCATCCCCTAGTAAAATCCCGCTTTGACTTTCATACTCTGTCCCCTCCTATTGCCATCATTAAGGAACCCCATAGTACCTCTGTTGGTTACACATTGGGCTGCTAAATACAAGGTCAGTGGTTCAAACCCACAAGCTACTTACTCTGTGAGAGAAAGATGAGACTATTATGGTAAAGATTTAAAGTTTCAGAAACCTGGGTTGGAATCAGCCTGATGGGGAAGAGATTTGGTTTGGGTTATTCCCATCTTTGTTAATCACCCACTACTGAAGCCATTTACCTCAGTCAGTACCCCATTGCTAAAACCCGACTCATCCTAATTCTTAATCTCACTTTAATATAAGCATAGATAAACCTCCTAATTACCTGGGCTCTCATTGCTGGAATTACTTTTTCTAGTGTTCCCATCAGTTCTACCCCTCAAGTTCATGGTCTGTACTGCAACCACTCAGTAATCACAATCCATGCCTTCTACCTGCTCAGTTCACTCATCTCCTTCCTTTTCAAACCTCAAATAAAAATCTGTACATGAATGTTCACAACAGCACGCTCCAAAATACCCAAGGGTGGAAACAACTGATAAATGGGTAAACAAAAGGAGGTTCTATCCACACGGCAGAATAGTACTCAGGTGTAAAAAAAATAAAGTACTGATGCATGCTACAACATGGATGGATGTGGAAAGGATTATTCTAAGTAAAAGAAATCAGACACAAAAGGTTATATTGTATGATCCCATTTATGGAATATTCAGAATAGGCAAATCCATAAAGGCAGAAAGTAAAAGAATGGCAGCTTAGGGCTGGAGAAGGGATGGGAAGAGCCTGTTTCAATGGATGCAGGGTGTGCTGGAAATGCTCTGAAACTAGACTGTGATAGTACACAACTTAGTAAGCGTACTAAATGTGGCTAATGGTAACTTCTATGTAGTATATCATCTCACACATAAAGAAACACACACAAAAATACAAAAGGAAAAAAGAAAGCTATATTGATGTCTCTAATTGTTCTCCTATTGTTCCTTAGACTCTCCATGAACAGGCTTTTGCCTCTACCACTCCAGTCCTAGACTTGTCAAGGTCACTAATGACTTCCAAGTTGCTAAAGTCAACTTCTTGTTTCTAGAGCTCTCACTTATCTCTTAGTTGAGACATATTACTCAGCTGCCAAGACACCAACTCTCTAGGAGTTCCTCATATCTCACTGGCTATGCCTATTCGCCTGCTCTCCCAGATCTCTTAACACACGTGGCCTAGTGCTCAGTCTTTGGTCTTTATCTATTCACTTCATGGTTATCTCCTCCAGTCTTAGGGGATTTTAAAATAACATCTGTTCCATTTATATATTTAACAATAATAAAGTTGTTTGGTTTAAAACAAAAATAAATTAATTAATTAAATAAAATTACATCCGTACTAAATGTATGTCTCCAACTCAACTTCTCTTGGGCGCTCCACTCTAGACTAATATATCCTAATGTTGATTCAGCAACTCCACTTGGATGATCCAACACTCAACTCCTGAACTTCCCACCCTGTCTTAATACTAATCTACTCCTACTTCAGCTGCAGTTTTCCCCATTTCAGCAGATGATGCATTTATCCCTCTAGTCCCAGACCAAAGTCCATGAAATCATCTTTGGTTTCTGTTTTTCTCACATCCTATACCAAAATCATTAGCAATTCTTCTGGGCCTCCACTTATATGTCCAGAAACTCAACACGTCTCACTTCTTCCAAGCGTGTTATCTTAGTTACCATCTCTCACCTGGATTAGAGTCTTTGGCTTCTAAACGGTCTCCATGTTTTCTACCCTTGTCCCTACCTGTCTATTCTCAACCTGCAGCCAGAGTGATGCTTTTAAAACATCAAGTTAGATCATGTTTCTTCCTCAAAATCTTCCTATGGCTCCCCAATTCTTTCAGGGTAAAAAAACAAAATTCCTAGCGTAGCTACAATGCCCAATACGATTTGGACCCTTCTTGCCTTTCTGATTCCACGTTCTGTTGTCTACTTTCATCACTCGGCTCTGGCCATACTGGCCTTTTTGCTGTTCCCTGAACATATCAGGCATACTCCCAACTTAGGGCTTTGGCAATGACAGTTTCCTCCGCTTTGAACGTTATTCTCTCAAATATCTACATGGCTAGCTTCCCCATCTCCTCTAGTCCATTCCAATATCTCCTCAATGAAGTCTACCTTGACATCCTTACACACACAGCTTGTACCCGCACCCCCACTGCCACACTCATCTCCAGCACTCCCAGCCTCTCTTACCCTATGCTGATTTTCCCTCATGGCATTTATTACCTTCTAACACACTATTTAGTTTCATTGTTTTCTTTTCTTGACTCATTTAAAAGTTGTTTCCATCTTTAAAAAAAAAAAGTCAAGGGAAATACATGTGGATTAAGCCTCAGGTGGATCTTCTCTGACCATGGACCAAGGATGTGAACTGCCTTGCTAGCATGCAGAGTACATGGGAAAGTGGACTTTAGCAGATGTAGTTAGGTTAAAATCCAACACCTTTTTTTACGATTTCTCTTTTGATCTATTTTAAAGTTGTTCCAGTGTTTAATATTTTCTGCTTTCTCTTCAATTGAGGCTTTTCTCTATTTTAATTTGTTGTTATTGTTAGGGGTTTTTTGTTTCTTCATTTTTGTATGTTTTTCAGTATATGGAATCCAAGCGAATATATAGCGATGGTAATTGGATTAATGGTTTCTTGGGAGTATGTCAGGAGATGTTGGTAGGAAGTGGGGGGGCTAATAACAATGAGTACAAGAAAGAAGAAAATGTTCTAAAATTGATTGTGTTTAACTCTTCTTGATATGACTGAACTATTAATGATTGCGTGACATTTGGATTATGTGCCAATAACACTTTAAAATTTAAAATAAGTTTAAATTTTTCTTATTTTTCACTTCTTTATCGTTTATTGTCTGCCCTTGCGATTGAAAGATAAGAAGGCAGAGATTTTTGCTGTTGTGTTCACAGATATCCCCAATGCCTAGAACAGTGGCAGGTAAGAGTTGTTGTTAGTTGCCCACAAGTTGGCTCCAATTCAGGGTAACCTTATGTATAACAGGACAAACTATTGCTCAGTCCTCTGCCATCTTCATGAGCATATTTATTGAATGAAGCATTTGTTTATGAATGATAAACTAGTGGGAACAGATGAAGAGGAACTTTTAATGCCAACTTAAAATGTTTTATCAAAAGTACATTGAACTCATGAGCTACTATAAATAGCACAGGTACCATTGTGGAGTATGAACTGCTAGGTTAATAACTAATTTGAATGGTCAGGTTACAGGTCACTGAATGGGCTGCTGCATTTCTATGAGGTAGAAACTCGGTGGAAAATGCTCATTTGAAAGTGACACGGAATTTTGTGTTGGGTCAGCCTAGTTCCATTAATAGTGGAAATATTCAACTCAGGTTTAGGCTTTAGGGGATGAAATTAAATAGTATTCCAATCATGCAAAGGTATGAGAAAATTCTGCTTAGGGCAAAGGAAATCTTTCATATAGGCCAGCCCAGCTTACTATACAGTTTTCCAATGAGATTTTAGTCAAAATTCCTTTAATAAAAGTGATATTGCCTTCAATTTGTTATTAGCCATTCTGACCCTGTATCTTCTACCAGAATCTAGTAAACACAGTGAAAGGTGGGAAGGATACGATGGTAGCAGTTGGGGACATATATAGGACAGAATTCAAGTATTCCAGGAAAATACTATTTTAAAATCAGGATACTATAGCCTCAACTGTCACCAAACTTCTGCGAAAAACATCTAACTGGAAGAAGGAAAAAAAGTAGCCTGGTTAGGAATTTCCAAGAGTCTAGTCAGAGGTTTTGGAAGAACAAATTGAAAGGGGGCAATACAAGGGGCCTTGAAAAGTTCATGGGAAAATGAAATGAAAAGATAACAGAATTGACTGGTGAGCTTTTGAAATCCTCTTGTATATGGCAGTTATTGGAGAGAGCTAATCTATTAAATAAATTCATGAAATGGGAAAAGGCAAAGATAACTAACAGGTTCCAGACTGAAAAAAGCCTTTTGGTCTATGTTTTTAAAAGCATATTTCTCTTATGGTCACTGAATCTATTCCAACTCCCAGCAACCCTGCAGGACAGAGTAGAACTAACTGCTCCTGTGGTTTTCCAAGACTGTGTATCTTGACAAGAAACAGAGAGCCTCATCGGCCCACTGCAAAGTAGTTGGTGGTTTAGAACTGCTGAACTTGTAGTTAACAGCCAGCATGTAACTGACTCTACCACCAGGTCTCCTTTTAAAAATATATGTATAAAGAAACTATGAAAATTAAAATTCTATATAAATAAAGAAGGGAAATCTGAAAATATATGACATTGTGAAATAATTTTATGCAAATGCATAACATTTGCATTCTTTTGCCTTATTTTTAAGTGAATATTTATATTAAATGATAAATGAACATATGCTATATCACAGTAAATACATCAAACATTTTTACTTACAATGATACCAGGAGGATGGACTTTTCATGTACTTGGAAAGAAAATAAAAAGAATGATAGAGCACAGCTAACCTTGAAGGAAAAAAAGGAAAAATGCAATGTAATAACTTATAAAACAGAATACCAATTTAATTATGAATCTAGAAATTATTTCAAATGAAATTTTAAAGTTTAATGTGGCTTCTATCTAAAAGTAAAATAAAAATGGGACACTAGCATATATATATTTTAAACCATATTTAATAATCAAAATATTCTTTCAAAACAGTGATTATAAAGCTCTGCTTAAATCCATAAAGCCAATTTATTGAGTCTTAATTATTAATAAGAAAAACTATTAAGTAATCATAACTTCATCTTCCCTTGTAACCTGACACTTTAAATTAAAAAGTAGTAATTACAGCCGAAAAGGTCAACATCGAAAACAGCCCCCCAAAATCTATCTTCATGTTCTTAAAATGTAAACTGCAATAAAATATATTAAATGGTTTATGAATTCATCATTTGCTACTGGTGTCCTAGATGAAAATTACTTAGATCTATTTTCAGAAGTTCATTTTCTGCACATGACCCACTGCCATCGAGTCGATTCCCACTCTCCTTTGTGTTGCAGGGCTGAGATGCACTTGCGACATGTTTCGCTGTGATGTTCCGCTCTGGCTTGTTTTTAGAGTACAGTGTCGATAAGTGGTGGTCCCAGAACTAGAGACCAAGTTTTTAAAGTGTGTCGCTGATACTGAATGTTTCTATAAACTACATATTTCTGATCTTTTAAAAGATATTTTTCAATATGATTTTTACAGACTAAGACATACAAGAATAATATTTTCAATACCACAGAAATACAACCAGGAAGAGTCTGGAAATCCGTTCAGAGAAACCCTAACTGCAAAAAATAAACCCCAATCCATCTTCAAACGACTTCCAGTCATTCTCCTAAACAGATTTGTTTTATCCCTCTATCAAAACTTTGTTTGACTTCTTTTGCATGCAAATCAAACTCCAAGTTTCAGCCCAACAAATATGGTCCTTGTCAAGCCTTATCTTTCCGTATGTTCTCTCCCAATGCCACCACACAGAGGAAAAAATACATGTCTGTCATTCCCAGAGCAGTTCCTGTCCTCTCCCTCCTTTGTAACTTTCCAACTCTTCCTCTTGGTTTAAGAACGCTATACAAACTCACATTCAAAACTTGGGTCAAATCCCACTTGGTCTAACAAGTTGTCTTAAAACCTCTGCCCAAAGGATATTCTCCCTTTCCTACATTATCAAAGCACATCACTTGTACCTGATAGAACTTAATACCATCTATTTTCTGCATAGCATGACTTATTTAAGCATATGTTTATTGCCACAGTTTTCTTCTTTGTATTCTCTTATTGATTAATACAAAGCAGAAATTGAATAAAAAGTTGTTGAATTAAACTGAAAGATTGGTTGGTCTACCTATTGCCCCAAACCACACCAACATATGATAGAACTTGGTAAACGTTTGCCAAATAAAGGAACATCTTATTTCCAAATTTAAGCAATAGTGTTCAGGGCAAGAAAATAATAATTTATCTTATTAAAATTTCAGTTACAGCTAGGACTAAACATTAAAATAATGAGAAACTTACCAGAGTAAATTTGAATCCTCTGGGAGAAGGCTGGAGTGTTAATTTTATACATGCAGGAAGCAGGCTCAAAAATGTAAAACAAAAGCTGACACAGGAATAAAAATAAAACCATTATATTTTTTGTGAGAATTAAAGTTTTAAAAACAAAGAAATATTTTAAAACCTAAAGATAATATTATATATCAACAAACTGATTTGAAATTCATTTCTTTTAATTTGAAAAATAACATCTAAATAAAGATTACTAAAATTGCTTGTAGTAATGATTACAGAACTCTTCTTAATATATTCAAACAACTGAACTGTGTGATACATGAATTGTAAATTGTAATATCAATAAAACTTTTAAAAGATAAAAGTTAAATCTATATATTGACAGACTTATACTGTATACTGACAAAGTAAGTATATGATTCATTTAAATATCAGAGCAAAACACAGCAATATTAAATACTGTTTATCTTATTTTAATATTAAATATAATTTATAGAAAAGGCACAAGGATATCACTGACCATCACTTCTCAAAAACACTCGGGACAAGATTTTTAAAAAGTACAAAGAAATTAGCTTTTATAATACAAGCATTCATAAACTTTACTTACAACAGTTGATGATCTGATTTTCAACTTTTTTGTAAGTCAGAAAAAACAAACTACAAAGGGAGTGGGGCGCACCTAAAGCGTCTCCTGGCACTGACTGCTAGATGGGGACACAAAGACCTGGAGGAAGTGCACCCATGCAGCAAGCAGAGCAGTCTGGAGGGAGCCATTTAGCATCATGGCTCACAGCCCTTGGAAGGCCTAGAAGTGCAAGTATTCTAACCCAGTGCAGTAACTGATTTTCCCACTGGCATTGGCTTTGTGATGTGTCAACCTAGCAAGGGTGGACCAGTGTTCCCAGAAATCTCTTCAGTGGGCCTTCCATTAGGGTAGACGACAAGGGACAGTCTCTGACAAGAGCTGGAGGGCAGGAGGGGCAGTACTCGCTTCTCCCAGATCTCAAACACTAAGCTTGGTGTACTGTGAAGGAATCTTGCAGATGTAACTGAAGTGCCCACTCAGCTGATTTTAAGTTAATTGGAAGGAAGATTAGCCTAGGTTCATCTAAACCTTCCCTTAAGTTCAGAAACTACAGACAGGAACTGGGTCTGACTGTTCTCTTTTACCCTTAGATGTCCCTTCCCAAAAGGCTGCCTATGAACTTCCTTCTGGCTTACTGAGCCAGTCACCACCAATGCATACGCCAATTCCACATAATAAATCTTTACACAAAAGCAAGCTCCTACTCATCCTATGGTTGAACCTAACCAATAAAGCACTGGCGATCATGACTGTGAGGATTGTGTTAAATCATATTTAATATCCTCTCCATTTACAGAGAAAAAAATAGGTAACGATTCAGAAACTCTCACAACAATTAAAATAAAGGTTGTATAAAGGTATCCATTTAAATTATATGCACAATTCACTAATAAAGAACCCTCACTCCTTAATGTCAGATAAATGAGATATTACCATAAGTTTTAGAGAGCAAACTATGAAACACTCTTAACAAGTTTTGTGTTTCTTACCTGAGTATTACCTGGCTGTGACGTGGCAAAATATCCTTAATCTTCAGAAAGACATTGATGCTACACCAAATATTGGCTACTTTATCCTAAAAAGAGATTTGTTCATTTTACATTCTGGTATAATGAAAAGCAATATTAAACCCACGAAGTATACCCATAGCCTCTAAGTAAATAAGCTTTTAAGACATATGAAGTTTTCATTCAAAGATTTATAATGAGATTGATTAAACTCTCCCATGCATAAACACATACACATAGACACACATACCACAAGCATTTTGGGTTTGGGTTTTTTGATTTGTTTGTTTTTGCAACTGGAGTTGGTTTAAATCACTAGAAAATCATAAACTAGACATTCCCAAGAAATATTTCACATTTCTGAAAGGGCAGCGTACTATCCCTCAAAATTGCAATTATCCTTCTTTGGAATTTTTCCTAAGAAATCCTTTCTGTCCTAATTTCTAGTACACTTTATTACAGTTAACCCACTTTATCACACACCTGCATTTATTTAGAGAAATCTAACAACTAGAAATCACAGAGCTCACTGCTACTACATCTAGAAGTTTCAAGACATTAGCATTTGTGCTGGGATCACTTTACAAATTAAAGTTGTAGTGACAGCTCTCTTGAGCAAGACGCCCTTGCTCTGCACAGTTGTTTGGCTCACAGCTGTGTTAGCATAGCATCCCTGACAACTGTACCACCCCACTTCCCCGTCCCAGATCAAAGAAAGTGGTCCGCAGATTTTGAGAACAAGGGAATCCAGGAGACTGGAAACATCAACCATGTATGATACTCAGTTTTAGAATTATCATGTTAATGACTACTCCTAAAATTGAAGCTATGGCAAGTAAACGGATAGCTTACGTGGAGCATAAACTCTCCTTCACACAGGTGTTAAAGTTAGGTTCTGGTATGCAGAGGTTGAGCACTTGGCTGCTCACCAAGCACAGGTTGGCAGTTCGAGGGTCTTTCGGGAAAGACCTCTTTTGTGTGTTGGTTTCTGAAAAGTGGCAGTCTACTTCCACAAAGATGGTTGCTGCTGTTAGGTGCCAGTGAGGTGGTTCTGAGTCACGGCACCCGGATCTACCATCGAAGGAAACGCTGCCCAGTCCTGTGCCACCCTCACAGTTGCTGCTAGGTTTGAGCCCATTGTTGCAGCGACTACGCCACGCCGTCTCACTGAAGGTCTCCCCTTTCTCGTTAACCCTCCACTTTAACAAGTATGAGACTCTTCTCTGTAAAGATTACAGAGCCTTGGAAACCTTGGGCCAGTTCGACTCTGTCCTGTAGGGTTGCTAGGAGTCAGGACTGACCCAATGACAATGAGTTTGGTTTGGGGGTTATAGAAAGTAGAGGTGAGGAACACAGGGTGGGGAGTTCAAACCACAGCTCTTTCACATACTGTTAGTGTGAATTTCTGATCTTAGACTTCTCTGTAAAGTGGGAATAATCATGTCTACCTCACAGAGTTGCTGTAAATATCAAATGAAATCATATGCAAAGTGTCTGGTCTCTAGGATGTTAGAGACAATAATAATGGAGGCTACTTCTTATTATCAGTCTGACCACCATCAGCATCCCACCAACACATTCCTGTTCCTTCATAACACCAAGTTCTTTCTTCGTCTCTTTCAAAATACTAGCTCCATCCTCTCTTTATTGGTCTAGCAATAGAGTTCCCATAGTAATTTATGTATTCAGAAATTAGAAAGATATCTATGTTGTTCTAATTCTTTTAAATGAAGTGTTTATTCAAAGGTAAATTATCTCTAAATATGCTGTCTCTGCTTCACTTTATGGAAAGACCTTTTTTGTTTGTCTGTTTCTGAAAAATGGTGTGCTTCATTTAATTACTAAGCCTACATCATCAAATTATTCATGTAATAAAAGTTAAAACAAGAATGATTAAACTAAAATTAAATGACATAAAATGAAAGATTCTCATTCAAAATACAGTGATGAGAGTTATAGCTCATTAGGAATTATGAGGTCTTTCTGAAGCAAACATGATTATTAGTTTCACAAATAATTTCCAAAGACTTAAACGAGAATATAAGCCAAAACATTACAGAGTTGTTAACTTTGCAGCCACAACTTTTCAAGCTTTCATTATGACCCCTATTACATTAGAAAAATGCATAATTGAATTATAGAACTGAGCAGGGCATAAATATTACCCGTTCCTGTAATGCTCTAGGAACTGCCAGCTGAGCTACGGGTGATATGCTGGATTAACTAACTGGCAAGGACTGACTAAGTGACTACTCCTTGTGTGTCTTTCACATGAAACCCCCAAAGGTCACAGGGGAAATATCACAAGGGAAAAGCGTACGAGCAGAGATGTTAAACATGCCTCAAATAATCCACGATCAACTGGGAAAAGTCTTCGTAGAACTTGCAGGGTTTGTTCTCTTTCTGTGAGGAACGGCAGCCAGCAGAGGAAGAAGGAAGCTACAACAGTGCATGCGAGCTTCATTAACAGCACAAACCTAGAACCAACACAGGCACGCAGTAAGACTGGGAGAGGCTGACAACGCTGATCTGTCAGCCTGACTCGCTCATGGAACAGAATGGTGCACCTAGGTTACCAATCTAGGTCTGTGATGGGAGTCTACTCACATCGGAGTTGAGAAATTCACAAATGCTGATGTCCCTTTCCCAACTCAAAGACTGTTATTTGTTGACACCCCAATGAGCCTTTACTTAGGTGCCCAAAGCCATCAGACTGGAATGCATTCCTAGTGAGCATACCATGTAATGTTTATTCTCTAAAGGGTTGAAAGCAACAGTAACTCTAACATGCGAATGCACATTCCCTCCAGTAAATGGACATGAAGAAAGTCTCTCTGGTAAGGAAAACTTAGAATAAAGAATACAGAGCTCTCTCTTCCCATCCTACAGCCAATACAATAGTAAGAAATCACCAGAAGGCAAAGGTCTCTTAATTTGGGGGTTTTATGTAAATTTAATATTTAAAAAGCACTCACCCCTTTCCTTTCAGGCCTTGTTTAAAACACTTGCCAAGTAAAAAGCAAAAAAATGGCAAGGAGTGGTAAAGTTCCATCTGTTTGTAATTTAGAGCTAAGCAAAATGCCAGGGACCCTAGCACGTCCCAGCCACAAGACACGCCAAGAACACCCCACAAAGCAAAGCCAAGACTCACAGAATTATATATGTGCCTGTGTCAAGGAAATTAGCTCAATAATTAAGAGACAGATTCTTGCATTTTTATAGAGCATATTTCTGATGAGCCTTTAAAATCATATGAGGTAATAAAAGCTATTTCTAAGCAGAAATGGAAAGTATTGAAGTGGTAAACACATTACAATTTGTATAATAGCCTCAAATATATTATTAAATTTACTGATAGAGCAACTGATCTGTTCTCGTGTAAGAGGTCTGAAATAGTTAACAAACAGATTTGTTTCTGTTAGACTTCACAATACCACTGAAACAGCATACCAAAATCTAAACAGTAAGACAATGCTCCAAATTAAAAACCAAAACCATCTGGAGTTATCACTGGATTTCCTCAAAAATATGCAACAATAATATAAAACCATACATGAACCTGGCTAGCAGCTAATAACATTGCTATTTGAGGGTGAGTAGTTGCTGTGGTGGCCATCAGATGCTAACCACAAGGTCAGCAGTTCGAAAACACCAGCAGCTACAAGGGAAAAAGATGAGGCTTTCTACTCCTTTGAAACTCACGGGGGCAGTTCTACCCTGTACTGTAGGGTCACTATGAGTTGGCATCGACACCATGGCAGTGAATTTTTTTTTTAGAGTACTACAAGGTTCCAGTTCTTAAATGTAAGGGTTTATCCAACAACATGTATCTAAACAGGTCTCTGCAATCAGTATGTGGCTGCAGACAAGTTCTCTCAGTAATGCACTAGTCTGTCTTCTTAGAGTGCCTTTAAAATGAAAAACAGTGACTTCTAAGGGGATCTGCGGGCCAATTAAATTAAAAGCAAAGAGATCAGCTCAGAAGGTTATGATGTTTGTTTGTCCCCCTGACCCACCCCCCCTGAATTCCCTTATTTTTAAAAAGAGTACTCGATAAATTTTCTCAAAGGACACAGAACCATCACTGAGGCTTATTTGGGGAGGAGTTTTAAGAACACTGAGAACTGCACTGCTTTTCTGATATAGTGTTTCATATCTCCCAGATACTGTTTTACATGCTTTACAAATATTCACTGAATTCTCAAAACAAGCTTACAAAGTAGGGGCTTCTACAGGGCCCACTTCACATAGGAAGAAAGATGTCCTCACAAAATGAGATGATTTCCAGCGTTTAATTCAAATTATCGGGAAATATCACCAACATACTAGAATAGCACAAAAGCATAATGATGACTGAAAACCCAGAGCACCTGGAACTCTGACAGCAGTACTGGCGGACTAAGAGCTTGTACTCCGTGCTTTCAAGTCATTTCCTCCCAGTCCTGTTATGACACAGGTCTCCCTTGAGTGTATCTGTTCTTATTTAAGAACAAGGTAGTAGGAAAAGTAAGTGTGTTTTGCCAGTGCTCTTTGGGGTCCTTCAATACGGGAATGTGGTGGGTTGTGTGCTGTCTTGCTAAATTCTACCCCACCTGCTCTGATAATTTACTCTATTTCATGGCAGGGGGTAAGTGGCTGGCTTCTATTTTCATTTCCCACATATTTTTTGTTTGTTTGATTTTTTTAAGCATAACTCCCCCCTCCCCATTTTATTTATTTATTTTTGTCTTTCAGATTTGTCTTTTTTCAGCTTCTAATCTTCTCCTAGACTTTGGGAAGAGGTTGTGGGGCAACACCTGCAGGTTTGAGTGGGAGTGTGGTCCTTGCCGGCTTTCCATGTCCTGTTCCTAATCACCATGCTGTGAATGGCACAACTCATACAACCATGTAGCTTGACATACAGCTTGGGAGGCATGTATGCATCAAAGAAAGACACTTGCTTCAGGAATATTCCTGACGGCTGCAGCTTCTCCTGTTCAGAATTACGAATGTTTGAACGACTGTCTTTGGGCTTGCAGTGGGCACAGTTCGTGCACAAACAGCCTGCACATGGCTGCAGCCCTTTTTGACATAACTGTTCTTTTTCCTTTTCCTTTGTAATCTTGGAAGTGAGTACATAAGGGTGCTTTCCCACACATTATCTCAAACAAAACACTCTATAACTGAACAGTTCCACTCATAAGAGATATACATGTGCATGCAAAGAGATGGCTGTAAGCATATCCACAGCAGCATTATTCAGCTTAGCCAAAAGCTGGATAGAACTCAAGTTTTTCTCAGCAATAGAATTGGGTGTGTTTGTTCAAGGGTATATCGCACTGCAGTGAAACGGAAGTGAGCAAACACCAGCTACACAACAAGTGAATCGCTCCCACAAACGAAGTGGTGAACCCAAGGCACGGAACATAAAGGAACACCTACTGGGAACACTAAACCAGGGTGGCCCTTGCAGCTGTGCACTGTGGCTGCCTTTGGGAATGGTGACGAGACGGTTTGGGAAAGATACAAGGGTAGGTTTTGGGTACTAGCAACATTCTATTTCAGGGTGTGGATAAATAGTTCACCACTTCACAGAGCTATGCATTTACATTTTATGCACTTTTCTACATGAGTGTTCTACTCAATATAAAAATAGTTTTAAAAATCCAGTGAACAGTCTTGGCTCTTTTGTTTTCTTTTCATCAGTATTCTTGCTATTAGCAGAGTATCTAACAGCAAAATCAATGAATTCACAAGTTTACATGTAGCAGCTATTTTTATCCCCTCCCTCAAAAAAAAAATCAAGCTAAATTGAGAAAGCTGTCCATTTGCATACCTTTTGCAAGTCCTTTGATAGATATACAAATTAATTTAATTACAACTAAAGCATATTAGCATCAAAAGGGCTGATTAAACCATCATGTTGTTGGTATTGTGGTTTCTCCGTGCCCTCCCCTCTTTGGGATAGATAATAACCTTCAGTACATTAGAACACAAATTGGATAACCACGGACAGATTTTATAAATTTATCCTATGAGATTTGTTTGCTTAGTTCTCAATGTTCCTTATTTTAGGTGTCAGAAAATAAAAAGGTAATCATAAATCCATGTAATAGATTTTCATTATTCAATCAGTTTTCATTTCCCGACATTTCCTGGCTACCACCATCTGTTAGGAAACCACCTGGTTTTCGAAGTCAGTCACCTCTAAGAGTGCTTTACTTTTCTGCAGGATTCGGACGACACAAAAGATAGGACACATCTTATTTACATCTTTTGAGAGGGACAAGGGCATAACTATATATTTCCCTCATTTTACAACTTCCCAGAAAGAACTAATCAGTTGCTAATATTTTATTCCAAAGCCAAACAGGTGTGAAAAGCAATTTTACTTTTAATTAATCTGTACTTTACCCTTCAAATAAAAGCTTGGTAAACAATGATTTTATACAATTGTATGGATCACCAATATAGGCAATCACCCTAGCAAATGGCTATTAAGGGAAAGCAACAATAAAGTTCAGCCTAGATTCATAGTATGCAACTAATGATGTCATTGCCCCTAAGTGAAGGATACTGAAAATGTCCATAGTCGATAAGAATAAGGCCTGGATACAGTAATATGCATAATGCATTAGCAACCTGTAACAAAAACACATTGTGAAATTAATCATCTATCATTCAAATTAAATGGCCAAAAAAGCATAATTTCACTTAACACAGTGGCAAATGGTCCCCTTTGTCGAGGTAAAAAATCTGCTATTTATCAAAAATTTTCATCTTCTATAAGATAATTCTTTTAGGCACAGAACTTTTTCTGGAGGTGGCATAGGACACTGTATTAAAACAAGGAAAGTCACTAAAAGGTATTTGTTCAGAGCAAGCACTTTTAGAGAAGTTACTCTAATACTTAAACAATCTGCAGTGATAAAACAGTATTTGATAACGTTGAATATGAGGATATATAGTGAATTTGTAAAATGCTTTTCAGTTTAGCCCTTCACATACACCAGCTCAAAATTAAGCTTTACCAGCTAAATAATCAATTCTGTATTCTACATAATTCAGCAGTACATAACTTCTAAAATTCAGTCTATGTACTAGTTCCAGCCTACTACCATCAAGTTGACTACAACTCATACCAACCTTGTATAGGGTTTCTGAAATCATTATTTTCTTACAAAAGCCGATAGCCTCATCTGGAGGGTATGAATTGCTGGCATTGCTTATCCAACAGTCCCACCAGAGCTCGTTCTGTACTGATGGGGCATGACAATAATGACTGTGAGATAAAGGATTAATAGAAGATATACTCACTCCCACTATTCTATCTATTCCTGAAAACCTGGCTTCCTTAAGATCTAAAGAGTTATAATAAAGAAATCATTTCAGAAATGAAATGTTAGCTTGCTTTACAACTTACCTTTCCCTTGGTTGAAGTTTCTTTTAAACAACAACAGTACAAAATCACTGCAGGTACGTAAATCAGCAAATCAGCAATAAAAACTGAAAAAAACAAGCAGAGTCTATCAGAATCTATACTAACCCATTAACTTCCCCTCTCCACTTCACATCGAGAATTCAATCAACACAAGATTTTCACCCACTCTGGACAATTCTATTGTCCTACGAGCACTTTCATTCTCTTCATCTCTGCATAACTTCAATAGACAGGGTACCAAGGAGTCTTTTAATTTTCTCTAACAAGTTCACACTTTAATTAAATACAATCCAAAGTGGATTTTCTCTTTGCTTTGACCTGCACTAAAAAATACCTAGTTAGGGAAAGCACATTTCCCCCTTCAAAATCTACATCCTCAAATTAATATAAAGAAAATCCAATATGTTGATGCATAGGATCATCTTTTTTAAATGACAAATGAATGTTTATAAATATATGTATAAGCCTTTACTAATTAGTGTGCATAGAGAGTTTAAGAGGAAAATTAAAACAAGTTTTTAAACTGGCAATTTATAATTCTGAATGTTCAGTCCCTTTAGAACACTGAACAAATATATTCAACTGTCCAACAGTAGGACATAGCTGTCCAAAAATGCCTTCTTGTTTTTGCTTGGTTCACTACATTAAACATAGTGTCCAGAACAAAGGAAGGGATCAACTTTTTGTGTTCGATGCAGGCAACATTGTATTCAAGTCCAGATGCCAAATTTAAGATTACATTGACAATCTAAAATATAGCCAAAAGAGCCTTCAAATCATAATCACATTCAACAAACTGAGGAACACTTAAAATGGAAAAGAGAGAACTCCAAATGTCTGTAGAGTGCTAAGTATGATGCAAGGATCAGACATTCTGTGGCTCAAGGAATTCTGGTAGAAGTGAACATGTATAAGAAAGAAAATTTTAATGATTAGGATTTTCAGAAAATAATGTCTCTAACATTTATGACCAAAAAAATCTCTACTGCATTCGAGTGCTCAGTAAACATTTAGCAACAATATGTAGGCTACAACTTATTATAAGGTTTACTTGAAGGAAAACATGGAAGGAATTTGTAACAAGGATATTACAGCAGCAGCCTATATAACTAAAACTTTAATTTATAATCTGACTTAGGTGAGTTAGTGGCATCACTTCACGGTTCCTCAGCTTAAAATAGGGGTATAAATAGTATTTACTTCATGTGAATTTCAAAGAGTTAAAAAGACGATAAATGTAGACAACCCGGAATTACTCCGCTCCACTTTTTGATAGTTGCACAATTTTCAAAGTCAATGGGTGTAATAATAGTATCAAGCTGATGTTGCCTGGCTACCAAAAGATATAGCATCTGAAGTTTTAAAGACCTAAAGATAAACAAGCAGCCATTGAGCTGAGATACAACAAAACCCACATGGAAGAAGCACACCAGCCCAACTCAAATGCTGAGGACAAAGTGGGTGCATAAACAGAAGTGGTAAAGAAAGCTGATGGTGCCCGGCTATCAAATGATATAGGCTCTGGGGTCTTATAGGCTTGAAGATAAACAGGCGGCCATCTAGCTAAGAAACAACAAAGCCCACATGGAAGAAGCACACCAGCCTACCCTGACACAA